GGACAAATTTTAATCCTAACATGTTCCAGCTGCTAATTAAATTCCGATTAACTAAAGTTGCAGTTTCAACAGATGTGGAGAAAGCATTTTTGCAGATTGCTTTGGCGGAAAAGGATCAAGATGCAGAGTGATTATTGTTTGTGGAAAACACACCATAAAATGATCTAAAATTAGCGACATAAAGATTCAAGCGTGTAAATTTTGGAATTAAGTCAAGTCCGTTCTTGTTGGCGGCAACAATCAAAGAACACGGACAAAAATATTCAGATGAGATGCCAGATTATTTGAAATACTGAATTTTTGTATTTATGTTGATGACTTTATTACAGGACAAGACAGTGTAGAGGAAGCTGTAAGCTTATCGCGCAAAGCTAAACAAATTGTGAGTGAAGCAAATATGAACTTCCGTAAATGAGTCTGAGCTAATGATCTATCTAATGATCCTGAGCTGATGAAAAATTAGGAAGAAGGGTTCGAGATTCACATAAAGTTAATGACTCAAAAGAGACACTCTTAGGAATGTTCTGGGATACTAATGAAGACAGTCTGAGTATAGACACAGCCAGTTTGATTGAATTTCTTAAAAGTAAGCGTAATACGAAGCAATTCATCTTGAAAACTGCTGTTAAAATTTTTGTCCTTTTGAGTTAATAACTCTGTTTACTGTCAGGTTGAAATTCTTGCTACAAGAACTTTGGGTTCAAAAATTGACATTGGATGATAAACTACCTGCTGTTATCTCTCAAGTGTGAGCAAAATGGTGTTGTGAGTGTCAGCAAAATGGTGTTGTGAGTGTGAGTACCACCATATTTATGATGTTGTTAAAATTATAGGTAAGTAAGATTGCAATTCCAAGATTTATTTTGAATCCCGAAGCCGTTTCCATAGAAATAAACTGCTTCTCAGATGCCAGTCAGAGGGCGTACGGTACTGTTTTCTACGTAAGACTGCGTAACCCATGGACCTTATAAGAAATAGTCTAACCTAATGGCGTTTTCTCCCTTGTCTGGCGCGTTCCCGGCTGTCACCTTGATCACATCCGGAGGAGTAGGGACGACTTCCAGAAATTAGCAATGGTTGGCTATTGCAGCGCGTACAATTGTCACGAAAAAGCTGGTGGTAGTGTCTCATTTCACAAGTAAGAATTTTTTAATATTTTCATTTTTGACACTGAGATTGCTTTTTAAATACTTAGCATGTTTTTCAAGCATAATTAACGTTCTAAATAATTATAAAGCTGTTGCATGCTTTCAGGCTTGTATATATTTTTAGCTTTTCCTATGATATAAGCGAATTTGTAACTTCTTCTTATAGAAAATAATATTTTAAATCTGAACTAACAGAAAAATTCAACCAAGTAATTTTCTCTTACAATTACTAAAACTATAACTAATACTAAACTATAGCTAAATACTAAAATGCCTAAAAAGGAATTTTTGAAAGTTTTTCTTTAAAATTTATAATTTTTTGTTGCTTTTTAAAATTATAGGTAAATTTTAATTCCTAGCATTATAACTAATCAAAAATAAGAATGTTTAAGAACAAAAAGTATACATCTTATATAGCTGGTTTTGTTGTTAAAAGCTTAGCTTATAATGTAAAATGTAATATCTGTTTCTCAGCTTTAGTTTCAACAGAACCATATGATGGTTTGCTAGGTTTCAAATATTATAAATCTGGATGTAAAGGTTTGACTTCTCCTTCCAGTGACATTCGAATGATCTGCAAAAATGCAGAAATAGTTTTTAGGCAGACTGAAAAGGAGTTTAAATTGAATAAAAAAAATATAAATTTCATGACTCTAAAAGTCTTAAAAAGCGTAGGAACACATATATTTCCTTCTCTTCAAGACCATATTTATGATGTTGAGCCAGATAAAAACCACCTGATTAAATTAATTAAAGCAGTGATATTTCAATATTTAAAAATCAGAATGCATCACGCAGTTGCATGTTACAATGAATCTAAACAGAGAGAAAATATTCGAAGCAGATTTACTAAATTAATTTTATTTAAGCATCAATAAACCATATTATCTGTTTCTCTCTTCCTCTCTCTCTCTAAATATATATGTAAGATAAAATTATATGAATCAAAATTATAGTTTAAACTATAAACATTAATTCTTCCTCTTTATTCTAAAATCGTAATAACTTCTCTGCATTGCGTCATGTCTAGATCACTCTATGACCCGCGCAGCTCTGATGACGTAATAATTGTAAACCAAAACTTTTCTCTTCGACGTGCTTCCATCTTGCATAAATACGCACTTCAGCTTTTGCCTCTACTGTGCTGAGATACAATTTCGCTGGCTTGCTTTCTATCTCAACAATATCAAAAATCTAAATCTTCTGTGGAAAGACAAGATTAGAGTGCCAAGTGATTGCGGCCACAAATATCAGTTGCAAATAAAAATGGAATTAAAACTGCCTCGACTGCCAAGTTCTTTAGATACTGTTAGAGTTATTAGCATACTACGCAATCAAAATCTTCTTCAATATGGGTCTAATCACGCATCTACGGTGTTCCGTCTTTTCCTTGTGCTTTTAATATGACATATATATATAGGTGTGTGTATTTACATTAATAGATAAATAGATATAATCTTGTTTTCACAAATATTTGAAATAAAAAGTGAAGTAAGCGAATTTTTCAATGCAACAAATATCCTAAATTGTTTACGTTCATACATATGTATTTATGGATGTATAGTCATTCTGCTTAAAGTATTTACAGGTATATAAAATTACAAGGTTACTTTAGGCGCATTAATAAAAATTTAAGATTGGACATATAATATCTTGTATTTTATAGTAATTATTTTTTTTTAAATTTATTTCTAGTTCCGCATAAGATTTTTTTATTTACTGCAAATTTTTTTAAAAATTTTTCATTACACTCAGAAAAGTTTATGCTCCGAATTTTATAAGTTATTAATATTGTCATAAATGATCATCTTTTAATACCATAATAATTTTGAAAACAGAAAAAATAAATAAAACAATCCTTGGTTTCTATAAACATTTGAAATGATAAATATTTGCTACTACTGCCTGAAAATGTTCACAAAATTAAAAAAAAAATTACCAAATCTTGTTTAATTTTACCTTATTTGTTTCATAGCATCATGTACTATTAATCTTACTTAATTTTACTTTATTTGTAGGCAAAAGTAAATTAATAAATTTTTTGTTTAGAATTGTTTTTACCGTTTTATCAAAGTAATAATGATGTTTAGACAAGAATTACGCTTATGCTCAAAATGCAGTAAAAAAAAATACTCAAAATGCACTAAAAAGTGGTTTCATGAGATATATAAAATCTTATTAGCAAAAACTGTGATTTTTATTATCTCATCATTTATACAACGTATCACATTTAATAATTAAAAAGAGTTATGTGATACAAACGCCATATGTTTCAATGTTACGATAAACTAAATCGTCTCTACTCTCTCTTCTCGACATGTGTGTGACGCACGCCCCGCCCACTGGGTTAGTCTATTTCTTATAAGGTCCATGTGAGTCCATGTGACCTGTGAGTTTTGTTGAATCGAAATGTCATATTGCATCTCTGAAAAGAGTTACTTTTCTTCGCCTTGAATTTCTTGGTGCAATACTAGCAGCGCGTTTAGGTTCCGAAGTGAAAAAAATTGCTAGATCAAAAGGAATCCTCGACAGTATTCTATTGGACTGATGCCAAAATAATGCTATGCTGGCTTAAAGGTACCAGTGTCAAATGGAAATCTTTTATCGCCAACAGAGTTAAAAGCATAAGAAATATGAAGGGTAGGGAAATTGCTTGAAATGTTATTATTCCGAATAATTAATAAAATGGTATTTATTTAAAGGCCATTTTATTATACAAAATTAAAATGAAATAATCAGATACCTAAAAGAATCATTATACTCGTACTACTCGAGAAGTATTTTCTTCAAGAATGCTTTATTTACCCGTTAGCAACTGGTTCAGCTCCTTACATTCAGCAGTATTGTTTCCTGATTATTTTAAATCGGTTTTGATGTATTTAGAACTTAGTTTTTTTTTTTTCTCAGCTTATTATTTATTATAAGACACGCTCTTTTGCTGCATTGTTCGCAATAAAAGTCATTTGCCGTAAAAAGTATTTGAATTACTGATGTTACATATTTGAAAGGAACTTGAATGAGTTGAAAACTGAAAAATCTTTACCCATTTAATCACAATTTCAGTTTATAATCAGACACAGGTTAGTTTTTTATCTGTTACACCTATTTTTCAATTTACATTATTTCCTTGAATATTTTGTTCTCATACAACTCTTCTACGTCAAAATATTTTCTCGCAAATTTTTTTCTACAATATTTTTCCAAGACGGCCATTTAAAATTCTGTGTACGATTTGACTGCACCATTCATGCTAACAAGAAAAAATATGCTTACAGTAGACGCCGAGATGTTTTTCGCTAACCATTTCTTTTCGTAAATTACCGCGTGTTCTCAAAAACGAACGTGCAGTTAATTTAACTGTTAAATTAATTCCTATTTTTAGAACGTGCAGTTAATTTAACTCTTAAATTAATTCCTATTTTCACTTCCCAAAAATATTCCTGTGACTATGTAGAGCGGAGCTATCAAAATTCATGCCGATTGTTTACAAAATCTGAGAATATTTACGCAATACGAAACATAGCTTTTGAAGCGGGACACTCCAGTATAATCTGTGACTATCCTGAGCAATCCAAGACGTTTGGATAGCATAAAGTGTTACGCTGTATTTAAAAAGGATATAATTACTCGGTACAGTTTTACAGTCTCAAAAATAGCAGCTTTTCGTCTTCAACTGGAGACTTTAAAAATTTAAAAAACAAAATGCGTTCTGAAGCCTGAAAATAAATATAACTGTTCTCTTTTTTGGATTTAGCCATCTTTATCGAAAGGCGATCTCAAAAGGTTGAAGGTCAGGAAAACACGCAATGAAATTAAAATATCTCGGTGGTGCCTGCCAATCAAAGAGGAGCGGAACCGCTGAGTTCTCTATAAGGAAGTTAGTCACAATTTCATAAGTTGTGTACATCTTTAGTATCAAATTTTTCAGTCTCTGTATAGCATCTCAATGGATAGGTTGCGATGCTTGGTTCTTCTTTGTCTTTTCTCAATAGCCAAAGCTCAGTAAGTACTTCTAATTTTTAAACGTCTCCTTAAAATAATGAATTACGGTAGCATCAAGGTAGCTTTTATGATAACTCCTCATTTGTTTACTTCGCACAAATTTTAATTGGGCATTCTGAAATTTTTAATTTTGATTAAGTCTTCAATTAATAAGACATTACAAGCACTAATAAAACATTACAATATACTTTTTGTGTTTTAACAAGATTAAAAATTTAATTGAAATATCTTACTAATCTCCATGTTTGTTTCTTTCATGTGAATTCATTTTCTGCTTTTCCGTGTTTTATAGTATACTAAAAGACAGAATTATGTATAAAACGGATTTGTAATTTAAAAGTTATAATGCACGTTTTTCAAAGTATGAAGATCGCGTTTATACAGAAACAAATTTTCAAATTTTGTGTGTTTGGCATGGTGTCGTTGACAAGTATTCTAAACATCGCTAAATGGAAGTTATTTTCGTATAGATTATTTAATCAGGCTTTAACTGCGATATAGCAGCTGAATTTTAGTTAGATGGTAAATAAAATTACGCTTATTTTGTCAGGTTTTTTCAGTATATAATCAATTATTCGTAAAAAGCTTAATGATTTCTTCTTAAGATAAACTATGGTGTATTATTTTCAGTGGAAATGATCAAACTATCGGGAAATATATGAAATTCAACTGTTTAAATATAAAAATTACCAAGTAAAACGTGATACTATTGTCTTCCATAGCACACCAATTAAAGGTTAAATAATTTAAAAGTAAATATTGTCATATGGAAGTGAGTTATAATTTACGCAACTGCCACAAATAGGGAAATTGCCAAATAGGGAAATTTATTTTGCAAAACAAATCTTTGGTCGTAATAATTGGCGCTTAATAATTCAGTCGCTATTCTTCCTTTCATAATGAAGCCTACTAGGCTTTAGAGGCGTTTTCTAGGTTTTCCCGTGTATCACGTGGATCGGAGCCAGTTACTCTTAAAATCTCCTCCACTAAAGCATCTCTTTCCTTATGTAGAAAGCTTTCGCTTGCTTTACCATAAATAAATAAACCAAAGAACACTATCACTCTATATAGATATGAAAACTGAAGGTGTTGATAGTGAATTACTAACCCTTATTTAACGATTTTGCAGCTGTTGCAAAAATCTTTATCTCTGCTTTAAAATGATATTGGTAACTACGATCCTCTTGGTAGTTCAACTATTAAAAACAAATCTGATACACATCAGATATTTTTAGGAAAGTTGTGAGGAATATTAAATTATACGCAATTTTCCTGTGTTTCCAGTTAACGAATTTTTAATTAAATCTACTTTGTCGATAGCGAATAAATCACAACAGAATAAATGAACTCTCGAAAGTTCACTGTATTTATTTACCATAACGACACTTCGGCGCTAAGTTCACTTAACAGCGTTACATCTCATTGATTTTATGATTCAGAGTGCACAAAAATTATATCATCTGAAGAATTACCACAAAAATTATATTCAAATACTATAATAAATCTAAAACGATGTATAAAAGAAATTAAATAAATAAAAAAGAAACAGTTTATACTAGAAGATTCAGCGCTGCTTACCTAATGCGCATGCTCTACTAATTAATTCATTTCTCAATTCGCGGCAAAGCAAAAATGCGTAAAAATTCAAAATATTTTCATTAAAAATTGAAGGTTATAGAAAAACATAAAACACCAAGTACAGTTAAAACAATTAAAAAAAAAAACAATTCTTACAATTAAAATTACAGTTTCTGCGCAAAAACAAGCTAATAACTTAAATGATAATTCCAGAATGAATTAAGCATAATTTAATTCGCAATAATAAAAGAAGACATTACTTTTGTTGTTGCGAAGCTTAGTTCATCTATATTAACAGCAAATCCACTATTCTGCTAAGTTTCAAATGTAAACAAATATGGCTGCTTTGCTAAACAAACATTAGGCTTAGCCGCACTTAAAAAACTTTTAAATTATTTATAATTCCACAATTATTGCATGGAGGTTAACTACAGACATAAAAAACTTAACCGGAAGATAAGAACAACATAATTCAATAATTTTTAAAGCAAAAAATGCACAAACATATAAGAATAAAGAAACTGAGTTCACTGAGCCGAGTAACAGAGTGGATATATATATATACATACATACATTTATATACTTTTGGTGCCGCCGATTGTGATTGAAAATGGGAGGTGCGCATCTATATGTTATAGCAGTCCTATATACAAAATTTCAACGTTATGAGGCTATTCGTTTTTTAATTATGCGAGATACATACATACGTACGTACAGATGCCACGAAAAAAATCTTTTTAGAATTCATTTTAAATCAGTTTTAGGATTTTTTTGTGGGAAAAAGTCTTTTATTATGTCCTTATGTACAGATGTCACGCAAAACATCGTTAAATTGCATTCGATAGCAGTCAAAATGGATACTTTCGTTGAAATATGATACCCGAAATTTTTCTCGATTACAATATTTCTTTTTTACTTCGTACAAGGAAGTAAAAATGACCGCTCAGTATTTTTTTAAATTAAAGATGGCAGTTTGTTTTCTTCTAATGGCTTCTAATGGCTTTCACATAATATTAGAAGGGTTAAATAAGAATTCTGATTCTCGAGGATTAGGTTGTCAAGTAATTCTCGATTCGTCCTTTCTCATTTCATTCCTTGGTGAAAAATCGTATCGATTCATTCGCTACTGCTCCCATCCTCCTATCAATAGCCGTTACCGAGGCAAGGTTGAATGTTTTCCGATTCATTCACTTTTCAAAAAGTTGTTGCGACAAGGACCATTATATAATTCATGTCTATTGTTTTTGCTATGCTTAATAATTTCAAAAACGACTGTGAAGTAATTTTAGAACTGACTAATCTTTGGAATATGGTAACAGGTAGTTTGCCGACATTTTGGTAAGTCGATAAAGGTTACTAGCTAGGACTTTAGCAGTGTATATGGATAAAGTCAAGAGTGTGCGCAATGCCATTTTTGTGCAATTCTGGGATGTTTTTTTAAGTGAAAATAGGTCGACGTTTACATGGATACCGTGTATGTGCAATTCTTAAAAACGCTGCTAGCAGTGGGCGATTCTGCACTTTCTTCCAATTTCGCACCTAATCTTCGTCATGATTAAGCACTTTTGTTCCATAAAAGTTCTAGCATAAGCGTAATTCGGCTAGCAGATTGTTGAAAAAAAAAAAAAAAAAAAGACCCTTGCCTTTACCTTGTGAAAACAAAATGGCATCCCGCCCCCCCAAAAAAAAAACCCTTGCCTTTACTTCGTGAAAAACAAATGGCGGCCAAAAAAAAAAAAAAAAAAAATCCAGCAGGTTGCTGTAGCAGGGTTGGTCGCCAAAAAATCGCCAAGTTACCATAATCCGAAGATTAACCTTGGAACGTTTGCAGGTGTGAAAGGGAATTCTGTTTTCACTCCCATGTGATTATTTAAAATTTGCCTTTTGGTACTTTCATGTACGTATGTTTAAAACGTGATTATGAATTTTCTGATTTTATTGAACCATTAGTGGTAAGTGCTAATGTTCAAAGGTAAACATTAATAAGAAATTTTTAAAAAGTCTATAAATGCTGTATTTGTAGAGAAACTTTCTGCAATAGAATTTTACTGACAAATTCATAAGATGATTATTGTAAGAAGGACATTCCTAACATGGCTGAGATGGAGATACAGAGGGTTTACAAAGTACCCCTTCTCCAAATAGGACCAGGTTTAACTATCGAAATGTCTTAAATTTAAAATTTAAATTGCATTCTAATCTTTTGAAAACTTAAGTATATGTGTGCTGTAAGAAAATTTATAATATGTATTTGTAATTATGTAAAACATACATTTGTTCATAATAAAATATGGGGATAAATTTGCATCATGTTATTACTGTTTCTAGAGAATATAAATCATAACTACACATATAATAGACTTTTAATAAAATTTTGTAATTATGTAAGTATATAGTTATAATTATATAAGTCGTAAAATTCAGAATTCTGCATTTTTAGATTTTAAGTTTCTAGTATTAATTAAATTCGTCATTCTTAAATAGTATTGTGTATAAGCATAGAAAAATTATTATTAACGATTTAAATTTGAATTTTTTAATAATTTGTTACGCAAATGTTGTATATTTGAACGCGCATGGATATATATTGGTTATTTACATACAAAATAGCTAAACTTTTATAATAGCTGATTGGAAAAGATAAATTTAAGTTATGTTGTTTTTAAATCTCTTTTAGAACTAATAGCCATTTTGTAAACATTATATTAAATTAATTCCATTATCTATTAGAAAACAATTGTAGTGAACCCTCTAGTGGTGACCATCTTCCTAACGTGAAACTTCTGAAAGAGGCCTGTATTTTTGAGAAAATAAATATACATTGGTACTGAACATCACCTTTCTAAGGCTATCACATCCACAGAACCCTCCAAACCTCTAGAACTGTGGATGGTCGCGTTTAAAAAGAGCGCATTGTATTTTTTACAAAACATGTGCATTAATCTTAATTATAGATTTATTGCGTTTCCATTTTCTGTTACATCACCTAGTTCTATTTTTTAAAAGTATTTACTATTACTTTGCAGTACGTAACAGGGGGAAATGACATTACAATATATAACATAATTAGATTCAGATATACAGATTTGAACATACCTGAAAAAACTTTTATTCTCAGAAAATATTTTCTAAAAGAAATATTTAATAAGTATTAGAAATCGAAATCGAAGTCATGTCAAAGCAGCAAGGGCCACCTAGTCTAAGTTATTTTAATTGACAAAAGCAGGTTTTCGTTCCATCACAAAATGACTTTTCGAGAAGCGAATGAAATGGGAAAGAGGGAATCGGTGAGAGAAAGCAGCAAACAAATCAGCAATATTTTGACCTATTGGTTTTAAAAGCAATATTTTGAGCAATATTTCCTATTAGGTTTAGATGCAATATATTTTAGTATTATTTGATCTATTAGTTTAGTTTTATTT